GACTTTAATGTATTACAAGCAATATTCCCCCAGTTAGTAAAAAGCAGACGTAAAGTTAGTGGAATTCATTTCCCTTTTGATAATGGCATAATTAAAGCAAACGAAATACTCAAAACCTTTAATGAATTTCAAGAATAGCAGAGATGAGACATTTCCAGAAGAAATTAACATGATGGCAATGCTAGGAATAAAGTGGAAATCAGCATCTGTCGTTAAAATTAGAGCAAAAGTAATTGTGTGACTGCTTTATGATTAGAGTTCAAATAATTGGAATAAAAAATGCAAATAAAATTCTAGATAAGAAACATCCGAATTTTCGGGATAACAAGAAGTTCTATTGATCATCGGCTATGAGACTTATAAGTGTAAAGAGTATATGTAATTGACAGAAGGCCATATTAATAGGGTCAAATGAAAAAAAGGTGAGCTGTCTAAGTTAGCATACAAACAAGAAAAGACAATGACACCTTTTGTGAGTAAAGAAGCGTCAAATTGCATTGGAAATAAGCTGAATTAATTACTAGACTAGACTCATATGAGACTTACTCTGCGTATGTCATCGAGCGAATGGATCTCGGGAGACAGGCCACCATGGACACAGAGGAATTGTTGGTTCATCAGGGCCGCCAGTGGTAAACAGTCAAAAGCCTCCATACAGGCGTCGTATACTTGCTCGCTATATTTTATCTTGCCTAAATGCAAAGGGCATTAATAATACAGAGTAAGGTGAGAAATAATTTTTTAGGTAAAGAAAATTGGCATCAAAGGTGGAATATATATCATCAGTTCAGAATAAATAATGTTGAAAAATAAATTTAAAAGCTCAATGAAAGGCCTTCGTTTAGACAATAAACTGGTCTTTGTAGAAGATGGAAATAATAAACAGAAAAATAAGCTTGGTATTAGGCTAAAGATAGTCTGAGATACAGATTAAGAGAGCCGAACCAAATCTCTGCTCACATTTCATAAGAATGAATAAATATCAAGTAAAGCGAATTTCCTTAGAAAGACAGAGGCCTAAGAGTAATTCTGGTCATTGTCAATGAGGGCTACGGGCCTACCCAAAATCTAGTGATCAAAGATTCGATCAGTGAAAAAACTATTTTAATAAATATCTACCAAAATAAAATGATTAAATTAGTATTTTCCGTCTCAATTCCGGGTCCCGATGCTTAACGTCTGCCAGAC